GAGAGAGAGAGAGAGAGAGAGAGAGAGAGAGAGAGAGAGAGAGAGAGAGAGAGAGAGAGAGAGAATCTTCCGCTAGAACATAGGAAGATACACTGCAATACTTTGTACTTACCACATGCACAAACGACAGGAAATATGGTGGTGTATCTTCCCGATTCGCAAACGACAGGAAATATGACGGTGTATCTTCCCATGCTCTAGCCGAAGATTCATTGTCACTGAAAAAAAGAAAAAAGAAGCACCGAAGTCTGCCCATGATAAAAAAAAGGTCTTCCCACGATATACTTCCGGGCCTTGGCGCACTACTCACCAAGTGAGCAAAATGAGAATGAACCTTCCCCTAGAACATGGGAATATATACCGCAACATTTTCGTACTCACCACATGCACAAATGACAGGAAATATGGCGGTGTATCTTCCCATGTTCTAGCAGAAATTCATTCTCATTTTGCTTAGAAGTGCCAAAGTGACTCACGAATCACATGGACGGGTGACCAAAAATAGCAGAAACGCAGCGCCCCTCCAAAAAAAAAAACGAATCTACCGAAAAAAAGCAAACAACGAATCTACACGTCTACACGTCGCGGCACTATCGAGAGCTTAGAAAAAGACAAAAAACAAAGAATCTACTGAAAAAGCAACAACAACGAATCTACAGGTCTACACGTTGCTCCACTATGTACTTGTTCTCGAACATGCGTCTGCAGGCCAAAAGCAAAAACGTCCCGCGCCTTTGTAGTGGTTTCCGTTGGGCCCACGCCTTGCCCCACCCATTTTCCCAACACTGTGAGGCCGGCCTCGCGGGAGCGTTACACGAGACCCACTCTTCCCTTTATAAGGAGTATAGAAAAAAAAACAAGAGGTACAGGGTCAAGGGTCAAAAGAGGCAACCTTTGCCCCCAGGAAGTGGTAGCTGAACCAACGGGCCTAGCTCACTAGGTACACGCATGAACTGTTGAAATACAGACCTGAGTTCGAATCCCAGGTTGATGGAGCGAGATGCATGACGTAAAATAATTCTGAATTTACCTGGGCCCGGTCAGCTCAGTGATGATATCTCAAGGCCATTGCCCATAAAAAGGAAAAAAAAAAGAAAGTCGTAGTTGACTTCAGGAAAGTCGGGAGTCAGGCCCAATTTAGGAAAAACAGTCAAAGAGTCAGAGATTTCTCAGGAATCAACCACGACCACAGATCTGGTGCGCATCAAAGGCTGTCTGCATTTTGTTCCAGAAGCTTTCCAAGGCCCAAGGCGTCCAGGCACACGCTGGCTGACAGCAAATCAGGGCCATCCAGGTCAGGAAATCTCAGCCACACGAGGAGGCAAACTGAGGCAGGCCAAGACCGCTCAACACTACACGATAGCTGCCTGACCCGGTCAGCTCATTCATTCCGCCTTGCGCTGCTTGAGGCTGGAGTACTGCTCCACTTAGCCCTAAAGGAGGCAGCAGAGGCTGGTGCCAGGGAGAAAGTAGACAGGGCAAGCCAGGGGGGAGAGAGAGAGAGAGAGAGAGAGAGAGAGAGAGAGAGAGAGAGAGAGAGAGAGCATAGGCATAGCTAGAGTAGGATGCCAAGCGCCATAGCTGTAGCATCGAGGAAGAGTGAGGTTGAGGGCGATCAAGACCTGCACCGTGAGGGAGAGGGAGAGGCTTACCTGAATTGCCTGTTGTTGCTGGTGGAGTTGAGACTGTGGTTTGCACTTGAAGACTGGAGGTGCTGAGCGCCAACCTCCTATGCTGGAGGTTGGGTCTGCCGATGAAGACAGCGGATTAGAGACTTCATCAGTGGCGGCAAGAGGGAGAGACAAGCTGAGGTGGCGAGTCTTGTGGGAGATGTCCTGGAGTTGAAGGGGGAAGGAAGAGCCTTTCTATTGTATTTATTCATTGATTATTAGTGGAACTTTCGTCCGCCCCACTCCTCTTCTATCCTTTGTTGCATATCTGGGTACTTGTGGCTGATGCTAGTGACTACGTGACTCGCCACCTCAGCTTGTTTTAGTTTTGGTTGAATACAAGTGGAAGTCCTCTATGGTTAGGTTGTCCTCTATGTGTGGTGAAACTACATGCATGATTCTGTTGTGCATGAGTTTGGGATGATTACAAGTATAGTACCAGTATGCCAGATTGAATTGAAGTCATCACAGCCATAAACAGTGTGTGTAGGTTTGCGTTGTATAGTCCTAGTTTCACATGTCAATCCTTTTCATATCCTTCGACTTCGTACGAACAAATGAATCCTTTTCATCTCCTTCTTGCTCTCTGGTTTCTTCTCCAATTCACATTCATTGATGGTATCGACTGGTCGGTAGAGGTTCACAGCGGGAAAAGTCTCATTTCATAGTGGGAATGTATGTCCCAACCTCTCTCCCTATGTCTCTCTATTCCTGTGAATCGCCTATCTTTCCTTGATGTGTGATGGATGTCCAAATTCGTCGCTTTCCGTGTCATAGAAGATCATACCGCATGCCCATACATGTGTTGCAATATCGGATAGGTTTGAGATAGCATGCACCAGCACACTCCTATGGGGCAGGTTCAAGCATAGAGGCTGATTACACAGTTCAGATGAGCTTATCAGAGTCTCTAATTCTCTTTTCACCGCCTTCTAACTCCTTGTCGTTTACTCTTCTCCTCCTCCTCGTCCTCCTCCTCCTCCTCCTCCTTCTTCTTCTTCTTCGTTTCTTTTTCTATCTTTTTGGACGATTTCTCGATTTACGCGTGTCATTGTTCAATGTGCAGGAGCCATGCTAATCTTCTGTGTATTATCATCCCAATTTTAATGGATGTTCTGAAGCCTGAAGGACTCTGGTTTACTCTTCTACATCTACGACTGTCATTGTCACAATCTCAGACTCGAAGCAGCAAAATTCAAACATGGAGACAAGAGGGTGACACAACTCTATGCTTGAACAGTGAATACACATGACGGGTGGCAAGAATACGACAAACACCCTCCTAACAAACCCTTACAAAATCCTGGCAAAAACCCTGGCCAACAGGATAACTAACCTCGCAGGCAAATGCTTCCACATAGACTAGACAGGCTTCATTTAAGGCAGATATATCCTAGACAACGTCATGGCATTGAACGAGGTGATGTCGAGCGCATCGGTCCGACACCACACAAGGCAGCGCGGGACCCTCCCGGCCGCGTCACGCAGGAGTTGGTCTTAACCCTCACCGAAAGCACATAATGGAGCTTCCGCAAGCCGCTCCGGCCGAGTGCGCCAGCCATACCTCTCGCGAGCCCCTATGACAGGATAGGGCCTACTCGAGGCACGACTTACGTCCACCTTGCGGGAGTTGTCACCTCCCTTCGGTGGGTGTATCCCTGCCGAGCTACCAGTCCACAATACGAAAGCTAATCAGTTGCAATCGCAGAGGTGGACCAGCCGAGGGCGTTTCTCGTTCGCTGTAGCATAGGGGGTACACGCGGTATTACGCCTCTATTGGACCCGCACGCGAACCGACATCTTGGGGGGCGGAGGTCCCGAGCGCGACCCGTCGCCGATCGACTAGGACGCATCCCACACGGCACGCGCACACCACTATAAAGAACATAAGAATAAAAACGCACACACACACACACACGTACATATACGGAACGACACTGAACAAACAACGCGACAACATTCCTAGTCCCTTAGTAGCCATCCCATAGCTCTCCGATGCGGAAATTGGATAGGTGTCGCGCGCGAGACTTAATATAAAACCGTGCGGACGCAGGGCTAACTCATATCGATTCGCAATGCATGCCTACGCAAGCAGTCGCAATGATGACGTACTATGTAGTACCCATACTCATACGGTCCTCGTTAATCTCGAGGGCCGCATTCAACACTTAAGTGTCGGCTGACACGGGCCTTTAGGGAATGATCTCTCGACGCTAGACAACTGCCAAGTGCGGTTGAAAACCACACCCTCTTCTGCACCCAGCGGAGAGTGGGTGGTACACAGGTTCATACCTGTGGTGGCAATCGTCTCTTGTTGCCCTGGAGACCAGCTCTATCATCCAGGGTCTGGAAAGAAGTCAAGGGGTTTGACTCTGACGGTTGCCACAGACTACAATGTCCAACTATAAAAGTTAACAAGCAAAATCACTCAATAAATAAATAAACATCCCAACACTCATATATCAAATCAGAATTCGAGATAAAATAAAAGAAGGGGAAACATAAACCCATCAGGTATGCAGATCGTGCGATACATGGTTGTCATCCTCACTGCCTCTAAAGTATGGCCCATATATCGAGCTCCAAAATACTAACCTGCATAAAACACAGGCACACACAGTAGCCACATTGCCATACACCAAGGTGGTTAACTTTACCGTTCACTGTAACTCACACCACGCCTCACACTCAAGCCCCAGACATAGTTCAACTTTCCATAAATCTCAGAAGTTCTTGTAATGTCCATTAAAAGAAGTCCGATTGAAACCCTCAAAGAAACATATCAAATCTCAGGGCTAAGGCAGTCAAGCTGAGGTACATGTGTAAGCAAAGTTGTGTCGTGAGTCGACGAGTCGTCGATCAACCAACCGACTTGTTATCAGTGATAACAGAAGATGATCCTTGTAGGATCGAGCTAACTAGTCCAAATCGTGGATCGAATGTTTAAAGAAGACTTGTATCATTAGACAGGTCAATGTCCAAACTAAATCGTCAATGTGTGGAGATCAGATCCCCATGACACGTTCTCACTCAAGACTCTCCTGACATCCAAGCCTAGGTCTACCTCTAAGCCAGTGCCCAAAGAAAGGCAGACCTATCACAACTTCTCCCCCATACAGAGTGGATCGCCCGAGTCGCCACCTGTCAAAATATAATCTATGTTCTCTAAACTAAGAAAATTCAGGCAGCGCTTCCCGTAGGAAAAGTGTCTTTCCATAATTTATATTAGCCTAAATATGAAAACAGAAATAATCTTCAACCTTCCAAAGTCAAATTTTGTCTAACTCCCTGAACTAGCAAAAATTTGGGCAGCACTTCCTTTAGAAAATGAGACTTCCCAGATTTTTACTAATCCATATATAAAAATCAGACAAGTTGAACTTTGAAAAGTCAAATTTTGACTAACTCCTTGGATCTGCAGAAATTTTGGCAGCGCTTCCGGTAGAGAAAGTAGCTTACCAAAATTTATACAAAGCTAAGTTCAAAATTTAAAATGGCTCTGACTTTTCAAGGTCCAATTTTATCTAACTCCCTGAATTAACAAAAATTTGGGCAGCACTCCGTTTAGAAAAGGAGACTCTCCAGATTTTTACTAAGTTATATATAAAAGTCAGAGAAATTGAACTTTGAAAAGACAAAATTTGACTAACTCCTTAGTTTTGTAGAAATTTCGGCAGCGCTTCCCGTAGAGAATGTGGCTTACCAAGATTTATACAAGACCAAGTATAATAAAAGATCCCAGAAAATGCAGGAATTGACCTAAGTAAAATAAACTTAGCTCAGAAAATGCAGGAATTGATACTAACTCCTATGACTCTAGCACGTGGCGAGCATCTAAAGCAACTACCTATCAAACTGAAACTCAAACTAAGTAGTAGTCTCACTCAGCCACGTGCAGGCCAAACTACAAAGGTAAGTACTCTCACCAGCCCAAAGTTAACCTTATCAAACAATATTTTATAGTCTTTCAATGATTTATCCCTTTATACCCAGCTTACATAGGGCATAAAGCTAGACCACCCAAACTTATGGAACATGTCTAGCTCAGCCATTGAGTATACACAAATACAGGGCACAACAACTTTCTCTTCCTTGGGCAAATGGCTAGGCCACCCTAGTCGCCCTGAACTGTTTAAGTATCCCAACTTTATATAATTATCTGCACTTAGTCTTTTGACGTAGCATATAACTGAACCGATCATCTTTAGCTCAAGATTCAGTCTGCCCCTTCGTACCACAAATTTATTCTTAATTAATACTCTCTTCAGTTTGTGATAGGCTATAGTCAGACCACCCAAACTTATGGAGCCCTGTCTGACTAGCCTGTTCATAAGTAAAATAATAGTAGAGTATAGCCAAGTTATAACCTCTCGGTTCCAGCATGTGCGTGGCATTGGACCAAGACCACCCAAACTTATGGAACGTGTCTGGTCCTCATCCTGGTTCTTTTCTCTTAAAGCCAAAACAGAAAGAAACTGAAAGAAACCCAAAGTAAACAAGGCGACCAAGCCACCCGAACTTATGGAACATGCTTGGTACCTGAAAAGTCAATCACAGTCAGCCTTCACAAGTCAAAGCGACCAGACCACCCAAACTTATGGGAACCTGTCTGGTCCTTCAGGCAATCGAAAAATAAACATAGCACTGGGCCCTCCAATCTTATGGAGATTCTCCCAGCCTTTGGTTGACCCACAATCTGCTTTCAGTCAAACAATAAACTGAAACTGACATTGCACATGCATTCCTTTAGTTAAGTCTGGTTTGTCCTGAAAGTCAAACTGAAAGTCAAAACAGAGATGCAGACCATATACTCAGTCAACCATAGCAAGACATACAGATAGGGGTTATAACTGGGTTTATAGAAGGAGGAGGAAACATTTACCTCTCGGTTCCCTGCCTCAACTCCTCCTGAGTTCCGGCAGGGCTCCTGCAATCGGTGGGCGGACTCCCCACAGAGTCTTGCTGCGGTCCTACGGGTTGCAATCCCGCCTGCCGCCTTCCCCTCGTAACCACAGACTAGACTTAGAGTAAGAAGGATAGAAGGAGATAGATTGAGACTCTCAGATCTAAGAGAGGTGCACTCAGACTCGCGGGAGACGGTCTTGATACCTTCAGTCGCCTGAGGGCCCCGCAATGATGTCCGAAACGCAAAACAGCTTGGTCAACCAAGGCTCGACCACCAGCCGTTAACTCTTCTGACGGCTCTCCGGATCACAGCAATACCCTCCTTTTAAAGTCTGACTTCCTTCTCAAGCCACAAGCTTACTACGTCAGTTCAGACTGCTGTTGCGCAACTTGAGAAAGCTCGCGCTCAGACAGAGCACACCTCCTGTACTTTGCGTAAATCGTCGCAACAGGCTGGAACTTATAATACTGCAACAGTAATGGCTCTTTGAGCTGGCCACTGGGTTATCGGACAGCCTGTTTAACCAAAGGTGGTACTTCCTATTAGTGATCGTAGTCGTACCGTCGGCAATAGCAGCATGGTGTCGCCTCAAAGCTTGGCTGATGTGATGGTGTGGCGCAGGCTTCCCTCGTCATTAGTCGTCGGGGTTGGCTAGCATGCACCTCCGACAACAAAAGTTGTCAATGGAGATCGTGGCTCAAGCCTCACTAACACATCAACCTTCCTGCCCTCCGGAAAGCAGCACCGGCTCCACAGTAGCTGCCAGACTTGACCGATGCGATCTCCCTATTCAACCTGGACCCATAGGCCTGCCAGCTATTAGCTCGTAACAACGACCCACTCTACTCTACAACTTATCTTCACCTGGCATCCTCCACTCTCCGGATAATAAGTACTTCCGATCTTTTCCCGTCTAGTGTGCCGATACACATCTGCTCCCCACATACCCTTGCACCCGCTCGTTTCCAAAGTGCTTCCCCGTCTGAGGCTCATGCACCGTCCACGCTGATTCCGGTTGGAGCCTTATTCATATATGGACAGCCTCAACGCGGCCCCAGCCGGAACGAGCGTTATCACCGGGAGGAACTTGGCGATGGCGAGCATCCGAACCCTTGGCATAAACTATGATGAAGATTGGGCCATTGCGATTCGCCCCCTCCCCCTACTGCTCATCCAATCCAGTAATGACCAAAACTCCAGCTTCCGCTCTGCTTCGCCGGGCTTGCTCCCTCCTCCATGTCGCTTCCCACCCTCGCGACGATTGTTCTTCCACCTCGACTCCTCAGCACACAACCTTTAGTCATTATAGCGCTCAAACCTGCCACTTAACTCCAAATCTAACTTCATAAATCAGCTCGCCGAGTCCAAAAACCATGGAAATGAGTCTTAGTTCGCCCG